TTCCGGCGGCTCAGTATGCATGCGCGCAAGTGGGTCAACTTTGGCGAATAGAGTATAGTCATTTCAGAATATAGTTGGAAAGGAAATGGAAAATAAAATATAATTGTAAATAAAATAGTCATGTTTTGAAGCATTGGTCTATTAGTTTATTGAACATCTGAAAAAAACATAAAGAACAAACATAGAGAATTGTTTGTTGAGAAAAAATGTTCCTGTTAAAAACTTACTTCTCGCTTCTACTTTCGGTACCTGAAAATAATATGTTTGATTAGAATTATTAATTTCAAAAACTAAAGTATTTATATTATATTCTTACATCTTTTTACCCCGGCATCGTACGAGACATCACTCATTTCCTGAAAATGAAGTGTTCAATTATAAAATTATCAATATCAAACACTTAAATATATAAATATATCCTTAACTTTGGCGGTGGTGTTTCGGTTTGGCACTCCTCGAAGTAGTGCTCCTGAAAATAATTTGTTTAATTAGCATTATCAATGTCGAAAACTTGAATATTTTTTTAAATTTTTTACTAATATAATATACTCACAACGCTGGACGGTGGCGACGATGAGCTGTCGGACCGTCGACGAGGGACCTCCTGAAAATTATTCGTTTAATTAGATTTACATAGAAATGTAATTGTATTTATTTTTAAAAATATTAATAAATCCTTACGTTTGACGTCGCTCGTGATGGTGGGGAACGGGATCCCCGTCGCCTACCACCATCACGACGATCTTCGCGATGTCGTTGCCAACGACCTCCTGAAAATTATTCGTTTAGTTAGATCTATCAATTTCGAAAACTTGAATAGGTATTTTTTTTAAATTTTTTACTAATATAATATACTTGGAACGTTTATTTTTAAAAATATCAATAAATCCTTACCTACGTTTGATGATGCCCGTGATGCTGGGAGCGGGATCTGGAGAGGGGCCTTGGATAAACCACATCTCCTCTGCCACCTCCCCGCCGCCTAACACCATCACGACTAGTGATGGGCAAAAGTGACTAATTAGTACCGACTTAGTCGGTAGTACCATATGACTAATTTAGTTACTCGAACATTTTTATTATTCGACTTATTTTTATTATTCGACTAATTATTATTATTTGATTTATTTTTATTATTCGACTAATTACAATTTAATTGACTTATCTGCGTCAAGTTTTGACTGATGTTTACGGCGCAAATGTTCGTGCAGATTTGATGTAAAGTATGGTAAGTAGGTGTTTACGGTACAGTAAGGTAAGTATGACATAAATTACACTTAGCTTCGTCAGGTTTTTTTTTACATTTTTAGAGAAATAGCACCACACGTTTGATGATTTTTTTTTACTCAACATTTTATAGGAGTTTATGTATAACAGTTTAAACTCAATAGCCTATAGTCTATCTCTATAGTCCATACCGCGTATGACTGTCGAATGATAACTAACTACTAATGTACTTTGGGTATTAAATATTTATCTAAATAAAATCAATGCAGAAGTGCAGAACACTTTCTTAGAATTACCCATTTGTAAAAAGCTAGCGGCTAGCACAATTATGGTCCCCAATGTAAACCTTTGTAGTGTGTGCGCCGTGCGTGTAATTATCGGTATTTTTGTTTTGACTAGTTTTAAATAGAATTACGATTACAATTTAAATTTCTTAGAATTACCGATTTATCAGTTATTTTAGTCGAATAATTAGTCGACTAATTTCATTTATTCATATTAGTTGGTTGAAAAAAAGTAGTCGAATAATTAGTCAACTAATTTCATTTACTTCTCATATAACGACACCAAACATGGACATTGAATATCGCCAAACAACAGGTCTAACAGTGACTTCAAGACCGATTGCAGACTTATGTGCAGCCGAATGTATATTACCGAATAGGCAGAAAGTTCTTTCTGTTATCGTCTATATATCGCCCAACCAACATATAAACGATATCGTAGAATACTTACAATTAGTTCTAATTCCATACACTCCTGGAGGAAGAACTTGGAGAAGATTAGACGAAATGCCAATGATACTAGGAGGCGACTTCAACATCAACTTTTCATCAGATGAGGCACAACCACTGATTTCGTTTTTAGAAAATAAATTAGATGAATACCGCTCGAAATTTTCCGAGTACCAACTACAAAACTACACTAGACGGTGTATTCTCGCGATTTTTAAATGTTATAAAATCAGAAATTTATATAACTTATTTCAGCTACCATAAACCAATAATTACATGTATAAAAGATATTGAAGAAATTTAAATTTTAAAGAGAACGCGATCTTGTATGATTATTGTTACCTTATTATACAAATTCCCACTCAAACCATGACATTATATTCCCCAATCAAAGTCGTACTACAGCTAAGATGTTTACACATCATTCGTGAGTACAAAGGCACTCACATGTCTTTTTTCTTTTCTTTTATTTTTTATTTTTGTGTCTGTCATCACGTTTTAGAACAGTAAAAGTGCTTGGATTTTCTTCAACAATAGCTTTTCTGATAGTGAATCTAGTTGGAACTTTGGGGGGTCAAAAGTAAAAATTTCCCAGTAGTTTTCACAAGCGCCGGGAAAAACAACATAAAAATTAAGGAAAAACGGGAATTTTTACGTAAAATTGGTTTTCCAAAAAATAGATTTTGGTTTTTGGTGTAACTCTAAATCAAATGAACGTATATACATGAAATTTTCACTGGTTGTTTATATTTGCATTTTCTATACACGATAACATTTTCAAAATATTTTGATTTATTTTGAACTGTTTAGGGACATTTTCATTTTCCATTTGTTTTTAGTATTTTTTCTAAAAATATCAATAAAATTTTATTTGTTGGTTGCGAAAGCTTGAAAATTTAATAGAAGGCTCCTAGTATATTGGTTCAAAGGCAGATGAAAAATATTAAAAATCCTTAGTCACAATTTTTTTTTATAAGCATTTAAAGTTTAACAATTGACAAAATATGGAAAAATCACGAAAATTAGCAAATTATTTTGAGTTAAGAATTCTTAAAAATTTTTCTTTTTAAATCTAAGATTTGAAAATGTAATACAAGATTCCTTATAAGATTATCTACCTTTATCAAAAAAAAATGTCTATAAAAAGTCAAATTAAATTTTTATGGGCGTTTGAAATTCAAATGTTTACAATATTGGATATTCACTCGATTTCTCATGTAGCGATTTCCTTATTCATTATATGTGTATGCAGTCTGAACGCTTCATCGGCCACAATTACATGGGGCACGACTATGTTAGATCCAGGTAGTGTAGAATCATTCGGAAAACCAAATTACAAGTTTAATACTTGCTTGGCCATTGTGGGTTTAAGGAAAATTCCGCTGTCACCTTCATTTCCATAAGATCCTATATCTACTACTATACATTTATAGTTAGTATCAACCATTGCTAATAAAACAATAGAAAAGAAGTCTTTATAGTTATGAAATAAGCTTCCTGAATTTTTGGGACTGCGTATTCGTATATGTTTCCGTCAAGTGCAAGAATGCAATTCGGGAAATTCCATTTACAGCTAAATTCAGCTGCTTTGCTTTTAAAATCGACATTTTTTGGGTCTTGCATAACTATTGGTGTTAATTTTGCTCTCAAGACGGCTAATGTTTTTTTAAGAATTCTGCTTATGTAGAGGTGTGACAAATACGAAAACCAAATGATAACGATTCACCAGTAGCCATAAATCTTTAAAAAAAATAAAAATTAGTTTATAATATTGTTTTTACGTTTTGTTAAATTGGTAGCTATTTATATAACTTTCTAACTGTTTGAAGATACCTTATGTTAATTGCTAGTTTTTCCGCAGGTGAAATGGGATCTTTTACTCTCATCGATGGTAATTTTGTAAGTTGGTTCTACTTCAATTAGTGAAAACAAAAAATTGAATTGTTCACGATTAATACGAAAAAACTCTCGAAATTTAATATCATTTTCGAACAAATGTCTATTAATTAAAATATTAAAATACCCTTCTGATTCGCGGTTTAAAAATAGGGAATTGATCGATTTCCGTTGTAATGGGATTACGTAATATCATGTATTTGCTCATAAAAACAACCAGGAATGCGACCACACCCAAAAGTGTTTTCGACTAAGAATACCACTCTTAGTCGTGAGGTCCATATCAAGGACGACTGTACACGCGCCGCTCACTTCAAAGGACGCTGCCACCATATATATAGGGGACAGCGAGACAGCCTGAGTAGATGTATCCAGAGACGAGAACAACACACGACTCGCTTAGCCGCCCAGCCATCACACACAACTTACACGGAGATTATCAATTTTGGAACGAGCTACAATTCGCGACAATCAACACAACTGTTCTGCTTATTTTGTCTGGTTTAAAATAATACATTGATTACTATACTAATTTGACTATTATTATTTATCAAAGTACATCAGCTTTTGGATCCCTGAAGGGCCGCATGTAACACCGTTTTTTAGGCATTAAAAAAGAAAATAATAATTCATTTTCTTCTAATTCATCTTGTAGTAAGTTTAAAATCAAATTATTATTATTCAAAACGCACAATAACTTATCGTCAGACATTTTGAAATGTACGTCATGCATCAACAGAAATCGACGTACTACTGAAAATGGAAAATTTAAAATCAAGTCGCCGCGACCGGTCGCTCATCGGACACCAATCTGTGATGGGCGACCGAAATTTGTATAGGTCGCGGCGACCGGTCGCGCCCTAGACACCGTACCTTTAGGCTTGTACCTAGTGCGATTTCTTATCGTCAATTTTGCTACCTAGATTTCTTTTAGTATTTTTGGATACTAATTTCCAACATATAAAGTAGGTAGGTATACTTTCAGTCTTATCGATAAAATTTTCCTATCCAAGCTATCTTTAAGTGTCTATATAATTATCTTTTTTAATCGAAGACTGTGTCCAGTGTGCCCGTGCCATATTCCACATATTGTAACACATTTACCGTTTACACTGTTGGAAATTATAGTTTGTAATATTTATAATGAATTATATCAAATCAGTTTTTAATGCAATCGATGAAAGTGTTTTTATTGAAAATATTGATTTATCTAGCAATGAAAGCTATAAAGTAGTTTTAAAAACGAAAATTGATCCAGACGATGATAGTTCGTACAGTGCTAATTGTGACAATTGGGTTCGTAAATATTCTGAACACACGAAAACAAATTGGATTGTATACAAAACTCATCCAAATTACAAAAAATTTGAATACCTTAAGGAATACGTCTGTCAACATTCCGTGAAGAATAAATCTATACATGCAGAATCCAATGCAACACGAGTACGCAACAAAAATTGTACAGATAGTATTGATATTCTGATTCGAAAGAAGACGAAAAAACTTTAAGAGATACTAATATGAAGAAAGGATTGAATTCTAATGTCCATGTAAGTACCTTCATATGTAATCCGGGCGGTTTGCGTTTGGGCGAATTGCCTTTTTACCCGTATAATAAAAGTAATGTCAGTACGTGTGTTACAGCCGACCGATACACACGTGTGTTACCGTCTGTCGCTTATCGCATTTATTAGCTCTCGATAGCAGTAACCAGAACTTCACCACAATTAACGAGGTATGTTGTATAATTACGGCCCCCCTCATCCATAGTAGGTAATATCATTCTCGTTGGATCGTCGTTTATCACGATGGTCTACACTACAGACAACCCACCCCACACTACATCCTACACACAACAACCAAATACACAAAAAACCTTTGCTGAAACAACAGCAAACACACATTTTCCAAAAAGAGATCAAGCAATAATCTTCAATACAATTCAAGATGTTCCACAAATCGAATATATTAAAGCATTCAGCCAACTAACACACCCAAATAATATAAAATTCGCATCACGCATTTCAAACAATAGGTTCTGCATATACTTTGCAAGCAAAAATATTGTTGAACAAATCATTTCAAAACAACCATATATCATAATAAACAACACGGAAATATCTTATCGCCGTCTCATTAACCCAGCCAAACGCATAATCATATCTAACGTACAACCGGTTATACCACACGACATAATCGCAAAGGCAATTAACAATCTCTCAATTATCATGGTGTCGCCGATTACATTTATGAAGGCCGGATTCTCTAATGATGAGTTCGGTCATATAGGAAGCTTCAGGCGTCAAATGTATATACACCCTGAGCATAGTGACAAAATTCCGGGTTCCATTCTGTTACAATTTGACCAAACTGAATATCGCATATTCCTCTCTGACGATACAGTGACCTGTTATTCGTGCAAACAAACAGGACACACTTCCAACCACTGCAAAAATACAATAGAAAATAAAGCCGAATCAGTACACCTCAATAACACAAACGCCAATACGGTTAGTAACGACATGGACCACAATGAACAGATAATACAAGATACCGTTGGCGACACCAATGACACAGATATAAGCGTCGAAAATAATACCAAGGAAACAAATACCATCACCCACACCACACAAAAAGCTACCACTCAAGAAAAAAGGCCTGCACCATCAACCTCGAATAGTAGCTGTCATGAGAACACCTCTATCCCAACACCAAATAACCCCACACCACCACCAATAGAAACTACAAATATACGGAAAAACACCGGTTCACTCGCAACCAAATTAAAAGAATCTGTCAAAACCCCCCAACCTCAGCACAAAAAACCAAGGCGCTCAAATTCAATTGAACAAATAATACTCAAACTGGATGAAGCATTATTACCAGCAAAAACTGCTTTTGAGAAAATACCAAACCTAAAAATTGACTTTAACCAACTAAAACATATTATTGAAAACACACTCACTGGACAAGATCCCTCCAGTGTTTTAACACCATTCAATATATCATCCATGGAAATGATCGAGATCTTGGAGACAGTCCGTCCCAAAATCAAAAGCATCTGCATCAAGAACAGACTCTCGAGTCTAGCCAATTTACTGCTCGAATTGACCCCCCTTTCCGACTTCAACTAACTCACCACAACACAACAATAATAATTCTCATTCATTGTATACATTGCATTTTAAATAAAGTATCCTAATATGAAGAACCTGAATATAATACAATGGAATATAAATAGCCTCACTAAAAAACGACCGGATCTACAATTAATAATACAAAAATATTCACCCATGTGTATTAGCCTTCAAGAAACAAATCTTAAAAACAATCTCATACCCAATATCAAAAACTACAATATATTCTACACCAACCGACAAAACTGTATTCGGGCTAGCGGAGGCGTCGCCTCTCTAATACACATTGACTATCCCTGTGAACAGATTCCTATCTATTCCAATCTAGAAGTCATCGCAGTTCAGATAACACTAGAATCAAAAATTTCAATATGTAACATATACGTCCCTAACCAAACATCTTTTAACACATTTGATATAGACAACATCATCAAACAACTACCCAAACCATTTATTTTACTAGGCGACTTCAATAGCCATAGCGAATATTGGGGATCAGACAGAACAGACGCTCGAGGCAAATCAATTGAAAAAATCCTAGATGACGACTCGATTACACTACTTAACAATGGCGAACCTACCAGACTTAATCCGTCAAACGGCCATTTTTCCAATATTGACCTATCCTTCTCAAGTGTATCGCTAGCTCAAAAAATATCTTGGTCTATTCTACACGAAATATATGACAGTGACCACTTACCTATTCTAATGACACTCCTTTCCACAAAAACACTAACACCCTCCCTCTCATACAGATGGAAGCTAAAAAACCCGGACTGGTTTTTTTTTAATACATTAGTTGACTCCTTTATGCAAGTAAACCCCCAATCCGATACCAGCACAATAGAGGACGATACCGCCTTCATCTCAGAGTCCATTATCAGAGCTGCAGAAGTTGCTATAGGAAAAACAACTAACTCTTTAAAAAGAAATCTAGTCCCTTGGTGGAATGACCAAATAAAAGAGTCAATCAAACAAAAAAACAAAGCACTCAAAACTTTTCAAAGCTCAAAAAACATGTCTGATCTCATAAAACTTAAACAACTGAGAGCGAAAACGCGATACCTAGTTAAAAGAAGTAAGACTGACTCTTGGAAAACCTTCACGTCCTGTTTGGGACCCAAAGCTGACTCCGCTCTGATATGGCGCAGAGTTGGGTCACTTCGAGGCTTCTCCAAGAACCACAACATTCACATCATGAAAGACACAAAATTATGCACCGATCCCGACGAAATATCCAATCAATTAGGAGATTTTTTCTACCATAACAGATCGGATGAAAACTACAATACGACTTTCTTTGAAAAAAACGTACACATGAGGAACCAGAATTTAATTTCTAGCATCAACCCACACCTTGATGAACAGAAAAAACTCAACTCCCCAATTCAGTTGATTGATATGTTCAGAGTTCTATCCAAATGTAATAGTCTTGCCCCAGGACCAGACGGGATACCTTATAAATTTATCCACAACCCCCCCATGACCGCCTTAAATGCAATTATTCGAGTATACAACAAAATATGGTCATCTGGTCATATACCTCGAAATTGGAAGCACTCTATAATTATTCCAATTCTTAAACCGGAAAAAAACAAATTTGATACTAAATCATACAGACCAATATCCCTCTTAAATACCTTGGCAAAGATATTGGAAAAAATTATAGATTATAGACTTAGAAGGTTTCTTGAAAAAAACAATTTCTTGGATCCTCGCCAGAACGGCTTCCGAAGACATAGAAGTACCACAAACTCATTACATGACATTCAAGAGGAAATACATTCAACACTCGAAGCTAAACAAATGATGGGCCTCATAGCTCTTGACATATCAAAAGCGTATGATACTACCTGGCGCCCCCGTATTGTTAAAATATTGTCAAACATTATCTGTAAAGGTAATTTATTCAACTTTATACAGAACTTCCTTACCGACAGAACCTTCCAGGTGAAGTGCAACGGAAAACTATCGAAAATATATTCTCAAAAAAACGGCGTACCACAAGGATCCACACTATCGGTATCGCTATTCTTATTAGCGATTAATGATATACCACTAGTTATACAACCCCCGGTTATGTGCACACTATTTGCCGATGACTTCAACATATTCTGCAGAGGCATCAATACAAATAGAACTATAAATTACCTGCAGAATGCAATAACTGCACTACAAGACTGGTCTCTTGTCTCGGGTTTCTCTTTTTCAGTCGAAAAATCACAATGTACTTTCTTCACTAATAAAAGAAATGTTGTTAACACCACCATATATATGAACAATATTCCCATACCAACTAAAAACTCCATCAAAATATTAGGCATACTCTTTGATTCAAGAAACACGTGGATACCACATCTCAAGACCATCCGAAAGGACTCACTTCTAAGAATGAATACGCTAAAATGCCTCGCCCACAGGTCATGGGGAAGTCACTCCTCTAGTCTATTACAAATTTATAAAGCACTCATCCTATCCAAACTCGAATATAACTCATTCCTGTTCATAAAAGCTAAGGCAACAGCACTCAAAATGATTGATACCATACACAACACAGGGTTAAGACTCGTTACCGGAGCCTTCCGCTCCAGCCCGATTCCCAGCGTGCTCAATACAGCTGGAGTAGCCCCACTCGACATCAGGAGAGTCCACAGCTCCATATTACTAGCAACCAGACGCACTCAAAATAACCTCAAGGTAATGAATCAAATCAATGACACCCTTAAAGACATACCATTCTCCCACCTGGACGTTATCAAGAACGAAACCATACAGACGGCCCCTTGGCTATTAAATATCCCAATCAACAGAGAACTAAGTAAATATTCGAAGAACGACACCGCCCCCATAATTTACAAACAACATCTACGTTCAATCATCTCCGGGTTCCACGATTTTACTGAAATTTATACGGATGGTTCCAAAACGGAAAACGGTGTTGGAGCAGCTGTAGTAATCCAGGACCACGTATCTATGCTGAGACTCTCCAACTTTTGCTCAATATACACAGCTGAAGCAACTGCAGTTTCATTTGCCTTAGACCTAATTAAAACTAATCACATACACAAAGCAGTAATCCTCAGTGACTCACTTAGTACCTTGAGGAGTATTGAAAATATCTACAATCCAAACGAGATCTCCAGGAAAATCCAGAACCAGATCTATAACCTTACACACACCGGCTACTCAATTACCTTATTATGGATACCCAGTCACAATCAAATTCAGGGAAATGAAAGAGCTGACCAAAAAGCACGCCAAGCAATTACGGATGCCATTAGACTTAATCATTTCACCCTACACGACGCCAAACTCATAACTAGTATAATAACTAACAACATATGGCTACGGGCATGGAAACAAGGTACATCCAAATTAAACGAAATTAAAAATACCATCCACACATGGCCTTCTCCACCAGACTTCACAAGGAAAATGGAAACCTCAGTCAACAGAATCCGTATAGGACATACATCACTAACACACCAGTATCTGATGAAGAAGGAAGATCCACCCCTATGTGCCAGCTGCGGTACCCCTCTCTCAATAAAACATATCATAACCGAATGTCTTGCATACGAAACTGAGAGACGGGAAGCAGGCATCTCAAGCATTCTGTCAGAAGCCCTCCACCCAGACAACATAAGACAAATAATAATCTTTATTAATAAGTCCAACCTTATAAATAGTATTTGATATGTAAATTACAATATGTAAATAATTTAGAATTAAACTCATTGTTGCCAATGGCCATTGTTGCCGAGGCTTAATTTAAATAAAAAAAAAAAAAAAAAAAAAAAAAAGTAATGTGTTTGGGCGAGTTCTGAGTTTCTTATAATGTGTTTGGGCGAGACAATATATTTTTTTTATTCCTGAATTTTGTGATCGGGATTATAATTTTCGTATTTTGTTTATTATTTATCTTTAGATTGGACATAATTAGTGAGCGAAGGTCGTGGCCCCTATGTCGACGTAGTACTGAGGGTTCGATATTATTAAACAAGTGATTGACGTGCAATGCAGACAAGATAAAATTGTATTGATTTAATAATAAAAATATTATTCCATAGGGAATTTTATATCAATCTAGATATGGCTCAGTCTTATTGCAGGTCGGCAGTATCACTCTATCATATTTTCAAATATCAGTTCGCTTTGGACATTGAAAACGTGAAGTTGTATAACTTTTATTATAGTGTTTATGTAAAATTTGTAGTTTATGTAAAATATGGATCTTAAAATTGATTATATTTTCGATACAAAACGAAATAAACGATGCATTTCAATTGAAAATTATACTTTTAGTGAATCTAACCACTTGAAAAACGGGTCTTTTCGTTTTCGGTGTACTAACAAAAAATGTGCTGAGAGTGTTTTAGTGAATTCTACCATCGATAAAATACTAGCTTTTTCAAATGATAATACACATAATCACGAATCAACTACTGCTCATAATTTAGCCGTTCGAACTGCCGTCAATAGGAAAGCCGAAGAAGACTTACATACAAGACCAAATAAGATAATACGTAAAGAAATTCAAGACACTAATCTCGTTTTTAAGGAGGTAATAGTTCATAATGACTTTAAATTGTTGAGAGAATCGGCATATAGGATTCGTAGAAAACATTTTCCCAAAATTCCCACAGCTACTAATGAAGCGTTCGACCAACTATTTGAAACTCAAATCGATATTAAAACTAATAATGAACAATTTTGTTTCGTCAATCGAGAAAAACAAATTATTTTGTTTACGTGTACTGAAAACTTAAAACATCTTTGTGAATCTGAAAAAGTTTTTGGCGACGGAACATTTAATTATGCTCCTAATTATTGTTATCAATTATATACAATACACATCTTCAAAAATAATTATTACATACTCGTAGTATATGCAATTTTGACATCAAAATCTGAAAATCAATATATTTCTATGTGGTTAGAAATAAAAAAATTGTGTCTTGCTTTAACAGGTAAAATTATTAATGTACGAAAATTTCATTCAGATTTTGAAAAAGCAGCTCATAACGCAGTTATTAGTTCATTTCCGGGTTGTCAACTCATGTGTTGCCAGTTTCATTTATCGCAATGTTGGTTTAGAAAAATTCAAAAAAATAAAATATTGTTAAGAGAATATGGTACCAATTCCGAACTTGATTTTTGGCTTAAAAATTTTTTTGGAGTACCATATTTACCATCCAATGAAGTAGGCGATGGTTTTATGGAACTCATGTCAATTGCTCCAAAAACTCAAAACATCATCGAATTTACAGATTATATACTTGATACATATATTTCAGATGAGGCTATTTTTCCTCCTTATTTATGGGCAAGAAAACCTGGAAATGATCCAAACACAACAAATGGAGCCGAATCATTCCATGCACATTATAATTCCCAATTTTATTCATCGCATCCAAATGTATTTCAAGTAATTAATGTGTTACAACAAATTCAAGTAGAAACTAACACAAAATGCAATGCTTTAAATAAAAATATTTACAATATTCGACGAAAAGTCATATTAGAAAAACAAGAATATTTGAAAACATGCTGGGATAAGTATATATCAGGTGAAATTAAGGTCTTAGAGTATATACATTGTATGGGAGTAAAATTCCCAGGAAAAAAAATTTAATAAAGAAAAAACAAATATATTTTTTCAATTTTAATTATATTTTAACTTCATTTTTAAAAAATCTAAATCATTTCAATTTTTAATTACACGCGCACACACATAAATAAACAATACATTTTTAATCATACCCGTGGAATTCACGGACAGTCCCAAGTCTGTAAAAATGAGAGGGAAAATGGATACAGCATCCCAGGGTATTAAAAATAAATAATAAAATAATGGTCGCTCAAACGTATTACAATGTTATAAAATCACTCGCCCAAACACATTGCAATTTTTAAAAATTCGCCAAACGCGTGAAGCCCATGTAATCCATAGCAATTAATAAAATAATAGCATTAAAATATTGGAAGTAACCAAAAACCTCCAGGATAATTTAAATAGAATAACCACTTTAGCATCAGAATCAAATACCTTGTATACGCATAAAATAATGAGTTCAATAACGACAAAATTATCGGCGATAACAATCTGAAGCACTTTCATTTTTGGCCCAGATGAATAACAAAAAGAGAGGTCGACAAATTGGAGTCCAAACAACTTCACTTGCTAGAAGAAAAGTAGGATTGACTTTAGGTTCAAAAAGAGTGCAAGCAGGGAGACCTACTGAAAGTGCTCCTCCAACAAAAAAATAAAAATAAATCTAGCTAGCAATATTGACGATAATAAATGTAACTCCAAATCGCTCTGACTTACTAACATAAAATGTAAATAAATAACAATACCTAGTGTAAATAATTTAATGTATTATTATGTAATAAACTAGGTATAGTATAAACCGCATTGTTATACCCATGTCCACCTTTCTTTTTTAAATTGACTTACCCAAATTATATGGAATATAAATAAATGTATTAGTGGAAATGTAAATAAAATGTAAATAAATAATAATATTGTAATTTGTAAATCATTTAATGTATTATTATGTAATTGACTAGGTATAGTATAAATAGCATCGTATAAATTATTTATTATACTTATTTGTTTTAATATTAGCATTATACGATTAAATATTAATGTTTAAACATACTAAGTTAGGTACGAAAAATATATACCTACTAACGACATATATTGTACCAATGTATGTACAAGCCCAATAGGTACAAAAATATGCTTTGTACGCAAATATTTAATAGTGTATATCAGACCCGCACTACGGAGTCTAACCGGATTCGGGCACTAGTGCCCCAGGCTCCAGCTCAGTTAGGGTTCGAAAATACGCCGCCGGGCCCGCATACTGTAATATAATATCATCATGATTATAAATAGTACTTACCTATATAATTTTTAATATTATAGTATATATAATTATATACTATAATATGTAAGTACTATTTATATATAATGTATTGTAAATAGTACCTATTTATAGTATCTATAACTAATCATAATGATATTGTACACAAACGGTGACCCGTGAGCCGTTTGATTTTTATAGTAACAGCCAGATTTGTTATTATCGACGGAAATCAAAACGTCATACCTACCAGCACAGGATTATGTTGCATAGAGTTGCAATTACTTTATAGGTCTATCGTTTATGCTTTGTTGTATCCGTTTTAAGGATATAATATACCAATATTTAAAAATTAAAAAATCATAACAACCAACTAAAGAAAACAGATAATGTTCTGACATTTAAATATGATAATAGGTCAATTCACTCTAATGTTTTAGTTAACAACACAAAATTGGAACTACTGGAAGTATGTTTTAATATATTATGCGTCAGTGGTGTCTGCAGTGGGGAGGGGGGCTAACGGGATGAAGCCCACCCCCTGTAGTAAACCGACGGAGTCGCTTTCCTATAATTATACATCATAAGGGCTTTCCATCATATGATACATTGATCAACAACTATAACATGCCCTGAGGTCTATTACCTACTTCAATAATGCCATTAGAAATCGCATAACGATTTCTAATATACATATTGCCGAATAAACCAGTTTTCAACTCAAGGATTATTCGACAACTTTAACATTTACGTCGGTACCTTTCGAAACCACCGGTATTCCTTTGATCCACCTCCTAGTCTCTACCGTGTACCTAATAACCACGGTTTAAGAGGACGCCACACCCGCATGTGTTGTCTCCGTCTTACAAACGCGTAACATAGCAAATTACGTCCACGGAAAACAAACGAATCGGCATCAAAAAGTGGTTTTAGAGTAAAAATACCTATAATAAAACTTAAAGAGAACAATATTTTGGAGGGAACCTCATCGGCGTTTTTAAAAATATTAACTATTAAAAAAGTTGTGGTTATTTAAAAAAATTAAAAAAAGAGTTTTTGTGCCTTCAATACCTAGCTGTGTATTTAGATTAATACAAAACCCCGATGAGGTTCCCTCCGAAATATTGTTCTCTTTAAGTTTTATTATAGGTATTTTTACTCTAAAACCACTTTTTGATGCCGATTCGTTTGTTTTCCGTGGACGTAATTTGCTATGTTACGCGTTTGTAAGACGGAGACAACACATGCGGGTGTGGCGTCCTCTTAAGATAGAATGGTTAAGCGACGAGGCCTGTTATTTCGGCGGAAGAGTTTCTTATCAAAAATATGAAAAACTCACTGCCCCGTGGCGCGATCTACTAAATTACCACGATAATCTTGATATTCTTTATTTATTAAATAATAATAATACTATACTATAATATAATACTATATTATAAATTATAATTATTATTAATTATTAATTATTATTATAATACCTACTTCATAATCCTTTATGATTGAAAACCACGGTTTAAGATCATCTATCTTAAACCGTGTTGAAAACGTAGAAGAACTTTACAGTGTATTTTTTTTTAACAAATGTCAAATTTATTTTTATTTTGGCATTTAATAGCTTTCCAATCTAATACCAGCTGTATGAAGTGTTAACTAATTTTACAAATAAAAATAAAAACCAGTTGTTAAATAAACCGATTTTTTAATTTCAATTTTTCTATTCTAAACCAAAACAGATTACCAAAAGGAAAAGGAATAATAGGTAAATCAAAATATAAATATAGTTTGTATAAAACATAATTTTATAATTTGTAATTGTAAATATCTTACTATATAATCATTAAATATATAATATAATACACTATAAACCAAAAGCCAACCAATGTTGGCACCGGAAGCGCTAGTATCCAGTGAGTAAAAACATTTATTTGATAAGAAACTTTTCCGCCGTAAAGTACCGTGGGATTGTATGGATCGTCGCTTAACCATTCTATCTTAAACCGTGCTAATAACCAAGGGAGACTTTGTATATATACGAGTCTGTATCTAAATTAGAATTAGCTCAGTGCTATGTACGACGTAGGTACATACTTGTAAGTACTTAGTAGTAACCACTAATCTCTCGGGCAGACGCTTATCGCTCTGTCCTCAAATTTCTATATTCAAATGTAATACCATTATATTATTATTAACTTTAAAATAAATTGCTTAAATTATAATGTTGTAACTTGTAACTCTGCAACCTTTTCTCCTACTCAATCATCAACGTCGTCGAACTCAAAATATAAGCGTTAATGAGGGATCACTACACCCCGTTGCTCGTATTGTATTACTTAAAAAAACTATTTATCAAGTTTCAACTGTCAACTATAATAAGCAAGACATAAATTTCATATACGTATTACCAGAATGAATTCATTTTTGAAAAAACATTGTATTTGCATACCAATTTTCCTAAAATTATCTGTAATTTTTCGGTAAAAGTATGAACTACTTGTATGAAAGACCTTGTATTAAATTTTCTAGTCTTAGCTTATAAAAATTTAATATTTTATAAGTTTTGAACTACAAATTAATTGTGGATTTGACGAAATTTGAACTTTGAATGCTTATAAATAAAAAAAACCATGATGCCTATGTATCGTTAATATTTTAGCTATAATAAAAACTTATATATTACATTTTTAAGCTTTTTGATCGGATAAATAATTTTTTATTGACATTTATGGAAAAAAAAATTTTAATTAATCAAATACAATAAAAGTGAGAACGGTATAAACACAGTATAGATATTTAATCTATTCTGTGGTATAACCAAGCTGGTTACCAACAAATTTTAATAAATTTTCATTTTTTTTCACTAATCATTTTAAAAAGTACTGAGCATTTTCAATTTCGACCTCCTAAAAGAATCAACTAGATCCAATTTGCTTCCAAAAATATACACCCGGTATCGAGACCTATGATCAGAGCAATTTTTCTACCAGAAAAGTTGAAAAGTTACAAACATTTTAAAATACCTCAAATAGGCGTCTGAAATCATTAGACTGGACAAAATAAAAATTACTAATTTTCAAGCTAGGTACTATAAACATCTAAACAATTTTGAAAGTTGTATTAATTCAGCTAGAAAGTTGTATTAATTCAGCTACCTACTTATTAAGAATTATTAAAGGTATGTATTAAGTTCAATTTATTTATTGTAATATAAACTAGCAGAACAAGTTACGAACATTGTTTATATTATGAGCAATCGTCTTATAAGACTATACAATATAAACACCACCGTCCATTCTAAGTATTTAATTTTACATTCTTTTATTGATGGTATATTTAAAATATTATGTTGTCTTTAATAGTTATTAATTTGGCTTAATCACAATGGAATTATTACACATCGTTATATATTAATAATTAAAGCTTAAATAGGTTTATCTAAATGAAAGAAGTTACTATTAAAGCAGAAACGTTATAATCAGTCCTAAAATGTTAATGTTATTAACATTTTTTTTTATGTATAATGTTCATATTACTATTCATACTAGAAAGTAAATAAAGATGTGATGTGATATAACCAACCTTTATAATTACATAATATTAAATGAATGTAACTGTTAGGTATAACCTTAACAATATAATATATAATAGTATACGTATACTATAATTTAAACCTATATAGGTATCAAATCCATATTAGATTTAACATTCCATTTTTTTAAACATTTTATTTACCTATTTTCTTTCTTTATTTTATTTTGTTCTATAAATCAATACTAAAAAAATGTCTCATTCTGCATATTACCGACTGGAAAAACATCGTCAGTTTAAACGGAGCTCCAACGTAGAATTAATTACATCAGATGTTAATACACCCATGGAAATTGATGTCCTTAGTAATTCACCGAGTTATCCTCAGTCTATAGATAGTAGTGAACATACTGATACTCTTGAACATGATGACTATAATTATTCAAATTATTTTGACAATAATTCTTCAAATCTATCAGATTCATCTTTTGGGTATTCAGACAGATCACCAGATGGTAGTTTGCCAGATCATGAATCTCCTCAGCAATCACCAAACACTGATAATGATGAACTGAATAACATTTTAACAAAACCTAATTTTTGTGAAAAATTACAAGACTGGGCTGTAAAACATAGAAGCAATCTGACTGTTGAAATAATAGAAGACTTATTAGGGATATTAAGGGCAGAAAATATTCCTAATTTATCAAAGTCTGCAACTACTTTATTACAAACTAAGTCAAATACAAATATAAAATTAATGAATAGCTTAAAAAACACAACTGGATTTTATATGTATCTTGGTATAGAACAAGGGTTGAGAGATATAATTACTGAAGAATATTCTGATACTGTTATTCGCTTGCTATTTAATATTGATGGTTTACCATTGTTTAATGGTTCTAACCAACAATTTTGGCCAAACTTGGGACTTATTTTGCATAATGATTATGAATCACAACCATTTATTGTAGCTGTATATAGTGGTGATTCTAAACCACAAAATATAGATTATTATTTAGAAGATTATGTCAAGGAAGCAAAACATTTGATTCAAAATGGAGTAACTATTGGTCAAATTACATTTAGAGTAGAAATTGTTGGATTTTTATATGACACCCCTGCCAGGTCGTTTGTTAAAAAATGTAAAGGACATGGAGGGTTTTATGCTTGTGAGCGCTGTGAAACCAGGGGCAAGACAATAAACAAAAAGAGAGTATATCCTAGCATGAAGTCTAGACTACGCACAAAAAGTACTTTTATAATGAAGAGCCAAAATGAGCATCATTTAGGGGCAGGTACATCACCATTGTTAGGTATACCAGACTTTGATCCTGTTAAATCAATATTCTTGGATTCTATGCATTTATTATACCTAGGAGTTATGAAATGGATAATGTATCAATTACTTGGTACTAAAAAATTTAATAAAAAATGTAAGCTACCTGTACAGGATATCAATCATTTAAATTTAAAATTGAAGACATTCGTGAAGTATATACCAAAAGAGTATCAAAGAAAAAAATTTGATATAAACGATTTTACACATTGAAAAGCCACACAATTTCGTTTTTTTTTACATTACTGTGGGTTTTTGGTGCTACATAATATCCTAACCAAACAAATGTACAAACATTATTACTTTTAGTAGTGGCTTGTCGAATACTTTGTGATCCAGAATTATGTATTGATAATGTAGATTATGCGAGACAATTATTAAGGAAATTCTTTGAGCTACTTCCATCATTTTATGGTTCTGATTCTCAAGTAATGAATGCACACAATTTAATCCACTTAGCTGACGATGTTGAGTACACCAAGATGCATCTGTCTGCAATATCTGCGTTTCCCTTTGAAAACTATCTTGGTAAAATTAAACGATTGATTGGAGGAGGAAGTTATCCACTGGCACAGTTAGCCAGAAGAATATCTGAACAAAAAGTATGTTTAGAAATGGTAAAAAAAGTACAATAAAAAAAAAAAAGTTTCTCGTAATGAATTCTGACATGCATGAAGACGAAGCTGATTTAGAAGACATTATTTTTCGTGGAGTTACATTAAGTATTAAAAAACCAGATTATATTGTAAAAACAGATTCTGGCCATATTGTTCAAATTATGAAGATCAGAAAACAGCAAAATAGTGTGTTTTTACTTGGTTATAGATTCAAGGATGTTACTGATGTCTTTCAATATCCATGTTCATCATCAAAAGTTGGAATTATGAAACTAGGAAGATTGTCAGAGAGTCAAAAAGGATATTGTTTAGAAAATATTTCAAGAAAATGTGTTTTTTTTTTAAAACAACTCTAATAATTTTGCTATCACTTATCTTCATGATTCTTAAAATAAAAAAATATTTTCAACTTCTATTCAATATTTTAATTTCACATAACATTTTTAGTATAATTAATGTGTGATATTTAATTTTAATTCAACATATATTTTAAATGTGATTGTTTTTTATTAGGTAACGAAAATGAACTTTCAGACGACCACTACTCATGTAGTTATTAAATTCAATGAAAAAACCAAAAATGGAAAGGAAAGCATTGATATTCTACCAATTTCGTGGACGTACTACAAAAAGGGCAAATTATTCAGTAGATATCCATATGAAGATGAGTACCATAAATTAGATGATATGTGCAAGTTGTCAGTAGAACCCAAAACATTTTGGAAAAGTTATGAAGCAACTTTAATTAAAGAAGCTAGTACGTATTTACCTAGCCAAATAACTATCTATATATTATCAATTTAAATTTTTTTTTAATTTATGTATCTATTTTCTCATATAATGTTTTTTTCTTATATTTCAGAAAGTTATGAACAAGGATTACGTAGAATGAACAGGGCATGCTCGGAGACTATAGTGCATAGTAGTAACCTAGATGAAAGAAATAGTTCTGAAGAAGAAATGAATCCTCTTAAATGAAGTGGATCTGAACTAAAAGAATCCTTAGATGAAATCTGTGCATTTAAAGAAAATAGGATTTTTTCTAAGAATGCAGTTGACAAAAAAAGTAATGACTTAATTCAATATATCAGATTTATTAACTACCTACTTTAATACTACTAAATTAATTATGTATATAATAGGTTATGTACAAACAAAAAACAAGGATTCTGGCACATCACCATCATCATCAAACTCCAAGAGAAAACTATCTGTCAGTGAAGATTCTGCATCGTCAAATGAATCATCTATGTTGCCGTTTAAAAGTCAAAAAAAGCTATTTCCTTCAAGTTGTGTTAAAATTGGCAGTAAGTTGAATTACTATTACTAATTATAATTGAAGAAATAGTATTTCACTGTTAACTTTATAACATTGTACTAATGTGTTAATTTATTAATTTATGGTTTTAGAACATAAAGAAAGAGCTGTTGAAAGAAATAAAATAAAGTCAAGTAAACATTGTCCATCATGTAGCTGTAATAGTAAATCTTCACGTATGTTGTATGAAAATTACATTTTGTACATAATACAATCAATTTAAAATATTCAAAATATTTATTGAACTATTTCCAATCACTTTCTCAGTTGGATACAATTAAAGAAATTTAACTTTGAAGTTTAGTCTAAAATGGTACAGAATTAATTATAATATATTTATTTATTAATTTAATCTATTTCAGCTCAAGAAACGGCATCCAAAGCTGATATTGTTTCCGCAATAAGGAGCATTGAGTACCGTGTTAAAGAGGAGGCTAAAATGACAAGAGCTATATTTAATATGAATAACACTACTGCAGATATTGAGAAGATACTTCAAGATGAAACCATAATTAATTTGCCGAAAACTAATTTGGAAGATTTCTTGTATTTTGATGAAAAATTAAAAACTGATGTTGATTTATTAAAAAAACTGGTGAGAATTGTTTCTAAATTGATACAAAAGTATTGTTATTAACTATTATTTAATCTTTCAGAAATGTTACATGGTGTACAATATTAAAAGTACAACCAAGTTATCAGAGATTTTTACTGCGTTAATCCCTCGAATTATTTCAAAAGATGTGTAGTTACTCTTTACCGCTTTCGGAAGAGAAATAAATGGTGCAAAAAAATTAAATTTTTCCAGCACAGAAACTTAAAAATACTTACTTGGTATCTATACATTTACTTTGTTTTTCAAAATAATTTCAGTAATTTGAGTTTTTAAAATGTTTATTTATATTTTAATTTTAGATATGGTTTATTCCAAATTTCCAAATATTGGCGGTAAAGAAATACAAAGTCAAATCAGCCGCTGGTTTTCTGGTGCCAAGGACAGGGAAGGAGGAAAGAAGGAGGGACTAGAGAAGTCTTCTACCATATCAGAGGAAAAAATTTCAATTAATAGGTATTAAATATTGATAAAAACTATAAATATTTAACACTATATCTACAAATTAGTATTTTTGAATCTATGTTAAATGTTGTTGGTAGTAAATAATGATTTTTGTTTAAAAAAATATTAATATAGAGATTAAAATTAGTTGGTTTTAATCATTATTCATTGTATTTTTTAATACCATAATAATAGTATGATATTTTGAAAATGTTCAGTTAAATTCTGTGAGGAGAGGTGGGAGCTGAGCCCTATGGCCTAAAGATTTGTAGGACAATGGTGGGCAACCACATGCAGTTAACAGAAAATGCTGGTATTTGTATTAGTGCTGATTTTCTATGCATAAAGGTGAAGAAGAACTACAAATAAATTGTTTAAAAACTAATTATCAGTGTTAAAAGGACAGTATAGAATATAACATGATTCAATTGAATTCTTTCAGTATTGTTACAATATTAGTAGTTGGTTATATGTCACCATTATATTTTGTACAGCGCAGTGGCGTAGTGATCGGTGGTTGATAGATCCCACCCTTGGAAATTTTTATTGGTAGTGTTTTCTTTTTGATAATATGGAATTTATTTCCCGAGGTGTATTGCAATTTTTAAACCACCCCACCCCCTTGATTGAGCTGCAGATAGCTATTGTTACGATGCTGCACCTTTACTAATTTCGTACTGTGCCACCACTTATATACAGTGCTGCACCTTTATTGATTGTGGTACTGCGCCTTAATTTGTAGACAGTACTGCGCCACCACTTATATATAGTGCTGCACCTTTACTGATTATGGTACTGCGTCGCCATTTATAGACAGTACTGCACCTATACCAAATGTTAGTACTGGCTCAGTACTGGAAAAGCGTTATCACCCCAGACATACACCAGTACATAGCCTATACTGGCTGCCAGTAGCGCGCCAGTATTAGTCCGTACTGACATAGTACTGCGCCCATTGTGAATTTCTGATACGGATGGACAATTTTTATAATAGCATTGATTTAGCTGAACAATTATTACAAAAAAAGACATACTGTACGGGCACATTGAGATCTAACCGAAAACGTATTCCTGAGGCTGTAGTAAAATCTAAATTAAAACCTGGGGAAACAAAAGCAATGTACTCTAATGGCGTACTGGTTGGTAAATGGAAGGACAAACGGGATGTTATGTATATTTCTACCGAATTCAAAAATAATTTGATACTTGCAAGAAATAAAAAGGGTCAGGAAAAACTAAAACCAGAGCCGATTGCAAATTATAATAAATTTATGAGTGGTATTGATCGGCAGGACCAAATGAACAGTTACTATCCATGTTTGAGAAAAACCATTCGTTGGTACAAGAAGATAGAAATACATGTGATCCAAATGCTATTGTTAAATTCTTATAATTTGTACAATCAATCACAAGTCGGATCTAAGATGACACTCTATGATTTTCGTTTGTCTATTCTTAGTGAACTTTTACCAGCATTTCCAAAACCAAGACTAGATGCTAAAAGAAAACATATTCCAAAAACACACGAGGTAGGAAAAAATGGAAGGGCACTTCGTAAAAGATGTTGTGTTTGCGCAAAGAATAAAATACGGAAAGATACTTCATATTTTTGTCCAACTTGTCCAAATCACCCAAGTATTTGTCTAGAACCATGTTTTGCAAAATTTCATTCTAATATATAAGTTGTTTTTTGTTTATTTAAAAATAATTATAAAAGATAAGTTTTTTTTTATTTGTTTTAACTAAATAATAATATAAGTCTGTTTATTAATTTGAATTAATTGTTTATTTGAACATTTGTATAATAAAAATAGTTATCGCCAATTGGCGTCATTCAGCATATTATGATGTAAAAATTATTCAATAGTGCTAACAACGCCAAATGGCGTCGTTGTAAATTTTATTTTGAAGATTGCGTGCGCACCGCGGAAAGTGCTACTACAATATAATACGCAGCGAACGTGTTAAATTGAGGGGGATGCGGGGGTCAGAGTCCCTTTTCATTGTTTATTTTTCAATTCAAGCATTGTCTATATGTACCTTATTCATATTAGGTACCTAATAGATTATACTATAAATATAAAATAACCTTTAAGAAAAATAATTCAATAAAATTGTTTTAATATGATGTACTATTGATATATATATGCTAATAATTTGTAATATCTATATTTATTGTGTTTATTGTTTACGGTTTATTGCAGAATATTGAATTGTTTTTTGATATCTAAAATATGCCTTTAGCCGAAAGGTATACTATTATCGAGGGTATTATTATTAAAATAGCTAAAGATATAATGATATTAGCTGATATTTTTTTAATCATACTTAAAAATAGTGCTTGCAAGTTTATAGGTACAATTATTTTTATGATCTATAATAATAATACAGGCATATGTGTTTTCAATTTTTCATTACAATAAAACCAGTTTTATATACCGCAGCGTACCTTTAACTTAAAAATTATTATTTATACTAATTAGGCAGTTTAAATTATAGGTACCTACTTGTAAAATGTAAGCCTAACTGTATAGGTATTATAATTTTATAATAATTATTTTTATAGCATAAGCTATAACATATTATTAAAATGATTAAAAGCAATAGAACAAAATTAAGAAGAATTAAAGCTGAATTAGATAGTATTGATTATAATAACCAACAAGAACCACAAATAAATGATATTCATCAAAATGATTCAATTTCATTGAATTGTGAAGATGATATTGCTACTAATACTATAAATGCTGCTTATGACTCCACTAGTATTTTTTTTTTATGTTAAATCACCTACTTTAGTTATTGACACTGAATCAAACAACACATTTTAAGGTATAGACTGCAGTGATGAAGATGATCAATTAATTTCTGTAGAAACAGAGCCTAATATTAATGAAATGCTTGCGGACTGGCCAGTTAGTTGTAAAATACCATTTAACAGTATGAATCAACTGTTATCAATTTAAAAAAAACATAAATGTTTTTCTAAATTACCTAAAGACAGCCGAACTTTATTAGCTATACCCCAGTCACCAAATTTAAAATATATTCGTAATGACGATCCTGGAATATATGATCACTTTGGTTTGGCTAATGGTATAGTTCAGTGTTTACAAGACAGTTCGGCAAATGATTCGGTTATTCAAATCGCAATAGGCATTGATGGATTGCCATTATCAAAGTCTAGTAATAGCCAACTATGGCCTATTTTGGCATTTATTATGAACACTGACAACTCAAAACAAACAGTTTTTCCTGTAGGTATTTATCATGGAAATTCCAAACCTAAAGACAGTGATGATTTTATATATGATTTTGTTATGGAAGCACGTGAATTATCTGATAATGGAATTATTATTAACAACTTAAAAATGTTTGTTTCTATTAAAGTAATTTGTTGTGATGTCCCTGCTCGCTGTTTTGTGTTGAAGACAAAATATCACTCTGGTTTTAATTCATGTTCACGATGGATTATTGAAGAATACGTAAATAATCGTGTTTGTTTCCCATATTCAAATATATATTCTGCGCCAATAACCGATGAAGTATATCGAAATTGCAAAAATGAAGAATATCATAATTCACCAAATCCTTCAATAATTACCAATTTAGCTAATTTTGATATTACAAAATCTTTTATTTTAGATTATATGCACCTCACAAATTTAGGGGTAATGCTTAAGCTATTGTCTTTTTGTGTTCTCAAAGGGCCTTCAAATGTTCGACTTTCTGGGAAAAACATATCTGAGTTAACTGAATTATTACTAAAACTGAGACTGTTTGTTACTTAAGAGTTTTGTAGAAACCCTAGAGAAGTTCAAGATATTCTTCGATGGAAGTCTACAGAATTTCGATTATTTCTAATTTATATTGGACCATTTGTACTCAAAAATATTATAACTGATGGTTGTTATAGTAATTTCATGAGTTTAAATGTGGCCATAGTCATTCTTTTGAGTCCGGATCATCAAAATGTATCATCTTATGTGCAAACACTTTTGGAATACTTTGTGGAAACATTTCAAAATATTTATGGGACTCATAACGTATCACACAATGTTCATAGTCTATTACAAATAACATCTGATTATGAGCGTTATGGACCAATGGATAAATGTAGTTGCTACCCATTCGAGAACTATATGAAAGAAATAAGTCAATGTTGAGGAAGCATGAAAAACCATTGCAACAGTTAATTAACCGTTATAGCGAACAAAAATATACTAAAATTCATCACTCCTCTAATGCACTAAAAACTTGTAAAAGTTATACTTTAAAAAAAATTCATAAAAATGGTCCACTGCCAGATTTTGCAACTATTACTGGATATCAATATGCATGTCTAATTTTTAATAATTTTAAATTTAATATTAATTGCAAAAGAGATCAATTTATTTTAACAAACTGTAATCATATTGTAAAATGCTTTAACCCTTCGTTAGGCGCGAGGTATATTGTTACTTATTCAGGCGCGTGGTCTACACTTGTAGACCATTTTAATTTATGACCAATTCAATTAATTTTAATTATTTTTGTTTATATTAATAATGTAAATTACTTGTATGCATATAAAGAATCGTATGCGCATTGAAATATCCCAAATAATCCATGAATATTTGAAGAAAATACAGTTAACTTGTTTATAGTGAAATTATAATAATTTCTCTCATGACATTTTTATTTTTAGAACTACTTACCCAATTACCTTCCAATCAGTCTGAAAACTATAGTTATCTTAAATTGACATGTTTAGAAAAGACCAGAAACAAAATTAAAATGTATTTTTATATTTTCTTACCAGTTATCGTCGCACAAATATATGTATTATAACTGTGATTTTATTATTAGAAATGATAGTGTATATTAGTTTTGGTGCTTATTTTTCTTGGTAATCATTTCCTCTTGTTAACTAAATTCCATAATATTGATATAAAGTATAATTAACGAATTTTATAGTACATATGAAACAACATGTAATTACCCAGTTGGTATATTAATAATAATAACATATTTATACAAATACTATAATAGCCTAAAGATAAATAAACATAATTATTAATTTATTAAATTATACTTTTCTTTTAATTTACGAAATATTGTATATATAAAAAAAAATTGCAAGCATTATAAAAACAATTGATTAATTTAAACAATTTACACAAATATCCTTCATATGCTCTTTACACGCATATTTTCGGCATTGGCCACAAAATCTTCTGGTTGATTTGTTTTTATTTCGTGGACATACATAACATCGACCCACATAATTTGGAAGATTTTCTGGTATTACTGAAATTGAAGGCTCTTCGATACCTAGAAGTGCACGTGCACGTCCTCTTAATTCTACTGGTAGTTTAGTAATCGTTGATCTGTACTCAATTTGAGGTTTCAGTAACTCCCATGCAATATTTTCAATAAATTGCCTTCTTGACATATTTGAATTTAAATTGTTTGCTTTGTATGGCATGATGCTGATGGCATCATCCGTGCAATAACCATGGCGGCTGATAGGTCAATCCCTAAAAAGAGACAAACCGCTATAACGGGCAGAAGTCCATGGTGGTCTCCAGTCCTGTCCACTCTTAGACAGAACCTTGTCCGACAGAGGCGTCGCGGTCCAATGAGCACCGATAGGCCAGCTTACAACAAATTGAAAAACGAATTCCTGACAGAGACCAGGAATCACAAAAGGGCCGCATGGAAGTGCTTTGCGGGAGACCTCAATGAGAACCCTTGGGGCAAAGCTTTCTCATGGGCAAAACGCGGCAACTCATGCAATTCCATGCCCAGCACGCTTTCTGGTGCGGATGGTTCTCAAACCACAAACTGCCGCGAAACAGCTGACCTGGTTTTCAGCACATTTGTTCCTCCGGACCCGCATGGGGAAATACCCGAAGCTCATGGTCCAATTCAGTATAAAGACGAACTCAGCCCGGACATTATAAAAAATGCCATCTGGAAGATGAGGACGAATAGTGCTCCCGGATCTGATGGCATCACAGCAGGCATTATCAGGAAAGCGTGGATGCCACTTAGGGATATCATCACGAACCTCTTTCAGAACTGCCTGAGCCCCACTGCTGGCTATCACGAGCGCATACGCAACGTCATCCACGAACTGCCTGGCCGCAGTGGCGGGAACAAAACCCCTTGATCTGGAGATACGATTTCAGGCCCTGAAACGAGCCCACTCCAGGCAAAAAATAACTGCGGAAGTCTTCGCAGACAGGACCGATGACTTAATGAACGAATGGCAGACCAGATACGAGTCTACTGAGAAGGGCAGTTGGACTCAGAAGATGATTCCATCGGTAAAGTTCAGGTGCAACATACCGATGAATCTGGACCACTGGACCACCCAGTTCTTAACCGGCCACGGGGACTTTAGAACCAAGCTCCACAGCTTTACGTTGGCTCCGGACCCCATATGCGAATGTGACCGGATGCCTGAAACCGTAAAGCACGTTCTGATGTTCTGTCCTAGAACCTTGGACGCCCGGAAGAAACTAAGACGGGTCCTGAGACAAGAGGGTGTCAGATGGCCACCAGAGGATGGCGCATTCCTCACGAGCAAGAAAACATATGAAGCACTTGCAACTTTTGCAAGAGAGGCCTTGACAAACAGATCGGACCGATGAGAACTGAGGACAAGTGGCCTTAGGGGCCAGAACGCTGCCCCGTCAATGACGGAAGGCAAAGTCTCGGGGTGTTCCCGATGAGCACGTATGGCGTAAGTGGCAGAAACGGGGGAACACGCTCGAGCGCGTTCTGGCCCGGGACGTGCTCATACGTCAGGGACGCGGAGTCCGGCCCTGTTGCGAGGGCCGTACAGAATTTCGCATCAGTATTCCCTGCTTGTCGTACAAGGCGACTAAAAGGGAAATGACCAGTCGGGGTCGGCGCCCGGGGCGCGGACGCACCGAAACCTACGGGGATTAGGGCGTTGAGAGGTTTTGACCGCGACCTCATGAAGAGTGGGTCGGTCACTGGGCTTAGCCACCTGGTGACGCCTTGGTGGCGGTGGTCGAGGTTCTGACCGCGACCTCTCGAAGAGCGGGTCGGTCACTGGGCTTAGCCACCTGGTGACGCCTCCGGGAGGCGGAGTTTGGGCCCACCGTGAGCCCGTGGTACACGGCCCAAATCTCGGGAGGACCATAAGCTGAGGCAACTCGCCGACGAAGCTTCGTCCGCGCATCCTACCATTGATGTGCCTTACCTGACGGGAGGCGAGAATGGTGCTTCGGGATGTGAGGGGGCCCCTCGATGTTGAGACATTAACAACGAGCCCTCACACGTCGGTCGTGGTGGACACTGCCTCGACCGACGGCGGTTTGGTTTCGAAGTGGCAGTTTGCAGGAGCAAAGTGGTGATAGGCCACACGCTTGGCCAGGGGAAGGCGGCCGAGTGACTGGACCGGGCGGACTCGTACGGCGACAGTCGGCCGGGAAAGCACGGCCCTCCTTAGCGCTCACCCAGCTTATCGTTGGAGCTATATGCAGCGAAGGTTGTCCGTGACCAAAAACGGAAAGCAAAGTGGATAGATTGCGGCCTCACCAGGGTGGCGAAAGGCACCTGTATGCCCTAGCCGGATGGTAAGGGCGATCAGGGGTACCCCTCCATGCGCGCCCGGTGCTCGTGGTCCTTAGACGACGTGCGGTCGTCAGTCTCCGGCGGTCCTCTGGCCATGCAACAGTGTGGGGAGGGTCCGTCGGTTGGCGGTCGTATGCCTCTACGGCCCTTGACTAGCACTTAGTGCTAATATAAGGTCCGTAGTTGTAGTCGGAAGACTGGCCGCAAGGCCTGTCGGGTGACGTCAAACCCGGGAGCTTCGTGTTTGCTTTGTATATACAAATAGCATTTATAGCAGATATGTTCAGTAGATCATAAAAAATAACCATTGGCCATCTACGAGTATTCCTAGCCACATTGTATTTTTCACATAGTTGGTCTACTAAATCAACACCGATCTTAGTTTTATTATAAAAAGTAATCATTTCAGGTTTTTTTGTATGATTTTCTTTGTCAATTGTGTCGTCATTGTGAATACTTGACACAAGTAATTTATACAGCTTTATTTTTGTTGGGACAATATGACAGTAATGTATAATCTTCTTGAAATCCAAAAATCGAGCTATGCAGTTATTTGGTAAAAACTCTGATGGTAGATCTCTTTTATTTTTTCTTATAGTGCCTGTATATGTTAATTTTTTATTGTGTTTTAATTTTTTTATTAGTGGAAAACTTGTAAACCACCTGTCAGGTGTAATATTTCTGTTACTTCCTTCTACTGGTTGTACAAGTCAAGAACAATATCTTCACCAGAATTTTTACATTTATATGGCCCTTCAGGTTGAGTAACTACATAAGCTTCAAGATCAAATGCATAAGCTGTTTTGGCATCAACTAACGCAAACATTTTTAATCCATACTTGGCCGGTTTGCTAGGTATGTATTGTTTGAATGAACAACGACCTCGAAAAGCTAATAAATGTTCATCAACCGTTAGATATTCACTTGCTATAAAATTATTTTAAAAATTCGCAATAAAGTATTCAAATACTTCTCTTATAGGTGCTAATTTTTCGATTTCTCTTCTTTCATTTCTATTATTTATGTCATCAAAACGGATGCATCTAACTAAAAATCTGAAACGTTTTTCACTCATAGCTAAATAACATGCTTCAACTCTACTACCTCTAGAATTATCCCAAATTTGATGAGTATTTTTTCTTGCACACCTTAAAGCCCCAATCAAAAATAAAACTCCAATAAATGCATTAATTTCTCTCTCATCAGTCAATCTAGCGTCAGATTCACGTTGAAAATTTGCTTTTATACTTTCAATATATATATTTGTCGAAATGGTGATTAAACGAATTACATTCTCATTTATAAATAATTTTAAACAATCAATTTCAAATTTGGCATTACGTGCATTTTGTTTAGGACCAGGTAAATGTGTAATAATATTATGGGAACGTACTCGAATTTGCATATTTGGTTTATTTTTCTTCCATTTGGTGGTTTTGTCTTTCCCCAAATAAAAGTTATTATTCTGAACGTCACTTACATTTTCATTTGTTTCATTTTCCGAAATATCCTGCTCTGATTCTGATTCGTGATCACTTTTTTGAGTAGTATCAATTTCTTCGTTGTCACTTTCATCATTCGCTTCACTCATTTCATCACAACTTGACAACTCATTAAGAAAATTTTCAACAATAGATGGGTCAAGCGTTGAATCCACACGTCTTTTTTTTGTGAAGACATAATTTATCTATAAATTATAATAATATACCTTCAAAATGCATTAAAATGTTTACGTATACATATATTTTTACTTACTGTTTATGTTTCGTTGAAATTATAAATATTTAAAACGAATGTACGTAATTAAAAAAAAATAAGAATTTTGCAAATTTATCAAAAATATAACTTAGTAAGTTTACCTATAATAGCTAACCTAACCTACTGAAGGATATTTCCATAAAAATAACTACTTATATATAGATTTTAGATTTTGTGGCTTTTAATAACAATAATTTAATAAAGAAGGAAAACGATTTAATATATTTTCAATAACTTCTTTATGTTTTTATTGTTAAATAATTATAACTTACAACGGCACAACATGAACCAACACAAATGCAGTGTTTATACACATATTATATACGAATTATTATTGTACAGAAATACATTTAGACAGTGGCGGCTCGTGGTGTTCAAAGTAGGTGGTGTGCAATTATTGCAAAAGTTTGTTTTAAAAAAAAATTATCTGTTTTAAGTATAAATGTAATAAGTTAAATATTTATTAGCATTAATAATAATAATAATTAGTATATTTTATAATTTATTTATTGTCACAACTAATAATATTAAAATAATAAAAAAACTAAAAATTTTTAAATGTGAAGTCCAGCCTTCTCTCCTTGGAAGAGGCAAATAATAATTATTATTAATGCTAATAAATATTTAACTTATTACATTTATACTTAAAACAGATTATTTTTTTTTAAAACAAACTTTTGCAATAATTGCACACCACCTACTTTGAACACCACGAGCCGCCACTGTCTAAATGTATTTCTGTACAATAATAATTCGTATATAATATGTGTATAAACACTGCATTTGTGTTGGTTCATGTTGTGCCGTTGTAAGTTATAATTATTTAACAATAAAAACATAAAGAAGTTATTGAAAATATATTAAATCGTTTTCCTTCTTTATTAAATTATTGTTATTAAAAGCCACAAAATCTAAAATCTAAATTCTATTACTTTATTGTTAAAATCAGCTATATTCATGACAAAGTTTTTTTCAATAGATAGCATCGCTAATGCGGATAATCTTTCTTGGTGCATTGTATTACGTAAAAATGTTTTGATTCTTTTTAATGTAGAAAAACACCTTTCCGATTCTGCTGTGGACATAGGTATTGTAATTATAATTTTTAATAGCTTCATGCTCTCACCGAATGTACTAGTAAGGTTTTCAGATTGAATAAATGATAATAATGATACAGCTACACTCATGGTTCTAAACTCAGTTCTACTGTAAATTATTTGTAATTCTGTTTTTAATTTTTTACTGTCAAAATATGGGTATACGTTTATTGTTTCATTGAAATAACCTTCTGGAAAATTATCATCATATTTCTTAAAATTATTGGCTAAAAATAAATTAGAAGCAACTAGATGACCAGTGAAATCAAACCTTTGTTTTATTTGAGATATAATATTATCACATACTTCTATTGCTTCTCGTTTCAATTCATCGCCCCTGTGTTTTCTTTTATTATTACTTTGTACAATATTACCTTCACATAATGTTCCCATTTGTTTCTAATTTTGGAAATCTCTTTGATAAAACTATCAATATTATTTTTCACAGTTGTTGAATCAGTTTCTCTTTTTTGTAGTTGATTATATAAGATATCTACATGAGGCATGATACCGTGAAAAACTGTAAGCCAAGAAATAAATACGTCATCAAGCAAAGTTCTTTTTAATCCCGATGCCTGTTCAATAGTCTGTGTATATTTAATGGATTCATTACTAATTATTTTATCCATACAAATAATTAATTCCCATTAAATTATAAATAAAAATTATTAAATTGTGTGGATAATTGTGTGGACTTGTATTTTTTCTAGCTAACCCCCTAATGAACGATCTTCCTTAAGACATCTTTCCATTCATACAGTATAGCATCTTTTTTTTCTGGCCATCTCCAGAACTTAAATATTCTAAACATGCAGTCTACTATGGGCCCCTTTTCAGAAAAACCTACAATTTTTCCAGGATATTTATTTTCATTAAATAGCACTATGACAAAGTCATCAAACTTCAAATCATTTTCGTTTAATTTTACTTCATCATTGGTATTGATAATTGGTTCTTCGTCTGAATTTGAGTCTAAGTCAAAGTCACTGATTTCGTCAGAATGTATCATAATTGCATCTAGTTCTTCATTAGAAGAACTTGTGGATAATTATGGATAATTGTCTTTTTGTTTTTATAGATTTTATGGTCTTATTGGATTTCATAGGTTTTGGATCTTCCTCATTAATTATGATTTATGACATCATGAACTGTTATACTTTTTCCAGCTGGTACCTGCAACTTTTTTTTTGGGCCAAAGTTACACAAAAGTATGGGACAATGTTTGACCAAAATGATAATGCAATATTATTCAATATTTTAACAAACTTAGTGTTATCAAACCACTATATCCTATTTCTATAATACATTTTGTACATAAAATTGATTTACCTAAGAATTTTAATGTTAGATGATACTTGAATAATGACAAAGTAGTCACGTACAAATTTGTTGATATTTTGATAACAGCTTTTATCAATTTCACTAAATAAAGTTGTGAACGATGATTAATGTACTAATCACTAAATATTGAAACCACTATTCCTACCTACAGTTTGGTACAATTTTGAAGAAATTACATAAGATAGTTCATCTGTTATGGCATAATTAAACTTTTTCTTTTTTTGGGCCAAAGTTACACTTAAGGGCTAATGTTACCCCATTTGACGGTATTCGTTTGTTTGGTACTTATAGAAAAACATGTAGCCATCTTCCAAAACAAAGAAAACTGAACCAAAATATTTTGAATGAAGCTACTAATCTCCAGGCATTAAGGCCCAACAAAAAACTTCTTCTTAAAAATTTATCCGATACTTCAGGTAAAACACTATTATTGAGAGATATAACAAATATTTCCAAACGTAAACATACACAAATGATTTGAACGCTTGCTTACCAATATTAAAAAAACATAATTGTCAGTATGAAGTCTTGGTGGAAAATAATGAATTTAGGGGTTTATTTTTTCAAAATACAGACATGAAAAATAATTTTGATTCATTTCCTGAAATTGTGCTTCTTGATGGTACATACGAGGTGTGTTCAAAAAGTACCCGGAATTTTTTATTTTAATGGGTCTGGAGAGTCCGATTGTCAAAATTTTTTTTTATTGTGTTGGTATACATGCCCCTAAAGTATGATAACATTTTCAGCTATAATCACTGTTGACTTTGTCTGTGGTAGTCGCTAAGGTACGACGTGTGTTTATGAGCTCGGCGATTTTTGCTTGTTTAAACAATGGAAGAATTGAAGAGTCAAAGAATTTGCATTAAATTTTGCGTAAAAAATGAAATAAAATGTAACAAAGTATGTGAAATGTTACAAAAAGCCTATGGTGAGTCTGCTATGAAAAAAACAAGTGTTTACGAGTGGTATAAGCGTTTCCAAGATGGCCGCGAAAAAAGCACGTCAAGTTCGATCAAATGTCAAGGTTATGCTTACGGTTTTCTTCGATTTTAATGGCATAGTACATCAAGAGTTCTTACCACAAGGTCGTACGGTTAATAAGGAGTATTACCTTGAAGTTATGCGACGTTTGCGTGAAGCAATCCGAAAAAAACGCCCCGATTTATGGAAAAACAATTCATGGCTTTTGCACCACGATAACGCACCTGCTCATTCGTCGTTGCTTGTTCGTAATTTTTTGGCCAAAAACAATACCGTAGTCATGCCCCAACCTCCATATTCACCAGATATGGCTCCGTGTGATTTTTTCCTGTTCCCAAAGTTGAAAAGACCCATGAAAGGACGGCGTTTTTCCTCGATTGAAGAAATAAAAGCCGAATCGCTGAGAGTGCTCAAGGACATGCCAAAAAGTGAATATCAAGAGTGCTTCGAAGATTGGAAAAAACGCTGGCATAAGTGTATTATATCTGGGGGGGACTATTTTGAAGGGGACCACATTGATGTAGACGAATAAATAAATATTTTTTTGAAAAAACGGAAATTCCGGGTACTTTTTGAACACACCTCGTACTAACTATTAAATTTTGCTGGTGTTGTGTATTTATTTATTATCGAAGATTCAATTGGAAGCTCAGATATAATAGCTGTTGGAATACTAATAGGTGAAATAAAAGAATACATTGATTGGTTAATTTCAACATTTAAAAATAAATACAATTGTAGTTCTTTGATCAAGACATCAAGACGTTCATGACTGACAAAGATGAAAACATGAGAAACGTTCTGAGGCATCACTTTCCAACATCTAAATTATTATTGTGTAAATTTCATGTATTTCAAATTTTCAAACGTGAAATTACTACAAATAAATTAGGTATTACTCCATGTGAAGAATCAACCACTAAAGAATATTTCCAAAATATATCCTATTCAAAATCTATTGAGGAGTATGAAACAACCTATGAATCTATGACACAGTTATTGCAACACAAGTAATGAAGTATTTTAATAATAATTGGAATCCCATCAAAGATGAATGGGTGGATGCATTCATAAATGATAATTACTTAAATTTTACAAATAACAGAACAGAGTCATTAAATCGAAATTTAAAATCTGTAATTAGAAAACTGAGTTCCCTAGATGAATTTCTGACTAATTTTTTTATTGAATTACACATTGAAAGAACCGAACGAGACCATAAAGCAATAAAAAGTATTCATAAAACACCAGTAATATCAAATGATATACTTCCAATCAAAAAATATTCTGATCATTTAACTCAGTATTCTTTTAGTCATGTCGAAAAAGAATATCTGGCTAGTCTCAAAATGAACAACAATTCACTTGAAAATATTGGAGTTACTATAACATTATGTGATTGTAAGTTTTTTCGATCGATGAAGTTGCCATGCCGCCACATCATCAAAAAACGACAGCTGAACAATTTAGATATTTTCGATCAACAATTATGTTTACCCCGATGGACCAAAAACTATCTTCATCAAAACAAAAATGTATTTCAACCGCAAATCAATTCCCCAGACAGTGTGCAAGATAGTATAAGTTATATAACATTAAAAAAAAAACAATCACCAAAATCAGCATTTGAAAAATATAAAGAAGCTTCAAATTTTACTACTAAACTATGTCAATTAGCCTCTGAAGTTGGGCACTCTATGTATAATAATCGAATTGAAGTTCTAAAAACATAATTAAACACTGGGAAAAACATCAAGAAATTATTATTATACCCATAGGAGAATCATTAAACAAGGTAAATTGTAATTAGTGTATGGCATTGAGTTTAAATAATTTTGACTACATTTTACTTTTAGAATCAAAACAGTGATAATATGACACCTACTTTTTTTTTTTTTTTTTCCTGTTTAATCGAGAGCCGGAGAAGGAACTGTTGCTCACATTGCTTCTTCTCCGGCCCCCAATCTTCTCCGGCCCCCAGAATATGACACCTACTAAAATAACTTTGGATAGAAATATGGTAAATAAAATATTTATTTATATAATTTGTTAAGTATATGTGTAATTTGACTGTCAATTCTAGGTTCAGTCATCTGTAGCGGTTGTTCATAGTTCCCCTACTAATTCGGTACAGCACCATGAAATGGTATAATAATTAAATTGTGTTCAGCATTAAAATCCATTAAAATTATATTGATATTTTTTTTTTTTTTGTCACTTAGATACAGTCAAGTAATAAAACCATACAATATGATATGACACCTACTAAAATAACTTTGGATAGAAATATGGTAAATAAAATATTTATTTATATAATTTGTTAAGTATATGTGTAGTTTGACTGTCAATTCTAGGTTCAGTCATCTGTAGCGGTTGTTCATAGTTCCCCTACTAATTTGGTACAGCACCGTGAGATGGTAAAATAATTAAAATGCAATGTTTAAACTATTTGAATGAAAAGAAGATTATTTAAAATTATATTGTAATTTTTGTTTGTTTCAGTTAAGTGAAGCTGTTCATAACACATCAACAAATTTGTCATACAATCCAGACTTGGTAAATTATATATATATATCTGAGTACCTACTTAATTATTTTTTGAAACATGTATTAAATGTATTTTCTAGATGATATCTGAACTGGATTGTGTAAAACCTCATAATGTTAAACAAGGAACAGGTTTAGGTATTATTTTATTTTTTTAACTTTATGAGATGATTTATAAGTCATAACAAATTACATTTTTTTTACAATTTATTATTTTAGATATTTCTAGCATTATAATTCCTACTACTAAACGTAGAGGAAAACCTAAGGGAGCTCTACAAACAGTCATTGGTTTAAAAAAAAATAGAAAAGTATTGCTTAAAAAACCTTTTAAATTATTGCACTACAATGAACGCATAAAATTAATATTGTCATGGTTTTGTACCGTTGATGTTGTAAACCAGTCTTTAAGTTCAAATTTTAAAATAAATGACACTGATCTGAATAAATACAATAGCATACCAAATAATATAATTGATGAGTTGGTTGATTTGTTTCAAGTGAGTATTCCATAATTTATTCATTTTTATAATTACACAAAATTACTATATTGTATTTTTTTAGGTAAAACAATTTTTTTCACCATCTGCTTGGGCAAAAGTACAGAGAATTGTGGCTCAGAAAAAATCTTGTCATTCTACATGGCTGTGTTCACTTTGCCAAAAAAAATGTGCCAACAATACTATAAGTTGTGATTATTGTTTAACTTGGTATCACACCAAGTGTGTGAATTTAGCTAGTATACCAAAAAAAACTGGTATTGTAGATATTGTTGAATGTTCATTAATTTATGTCTATTTGCTGCATTATATTATTATAATATCCAATTCAGTATGGTTTTTACAATAATATTTCTGTAGTTTTTAAGTTAAAAGTAAGTGTTTTATAAGTATGATTTTTGGACCATAGGTATGTTAAATACATGTAATTAGAACTGCAATGTTTTTGGAGGTCATTTTTTATCCATTTTTAGTCATCAATATCCTATCTCTAATGATAAGGTATTTTTGACATTTTTAATATTGGATGGATCAACTGAAATATTAGAATATTAGATGTATCTGTAAAAATGTTGTTTGTATCATAAGTGCAACTTACAACTATCCCGGCAACAACATAATTAGGTATAGTTCGATCCCGGCAGTAACATAATTATTGTACGATCCCGGCAGTACCACAATATTATTGAATCGTGTTGGAAGTAAGATAAGTCCCCGCGCATGCGCAATGATAAAAAAAATTGTCCGGGACTGATAACATTTTGACAATTATCACGGAATTTCCGGGACTCTATCCACACCCTATTAATACACTAAAAACTAGATAATTCTAATGTATTTGGCAATGTGATTAGAAAAGAAATGTATTATCATGGCCTGATGGGCCCCTACTTATGTTTACAAAAATGGGATCATGCCTATCCGCCCCTGTGTATTATAATAATAGTGGTTTCATTAATATTTAATACAAACATTTCAGTAACAAATCGAAGAAAATTATATTAAACCGGTAAAGGTTACCTGTTTTGTCTCCATCAAAAATGTTTTGTAGCCCTACTGCTGATGACCCCATGATTTCAATTAAGGGGTATGCATACCGACCGTTTCTAAGGAGTTCTGTATAGGCAATTTTCTAATTGTGTGCATGCGGGTCGTGTAAATGTGTGCGTAGTAAGTGAGTGACTGTGTATAAAATAAATAGTGGAGAACACCCGCACGTGCATGCACATGTCATTAACGGAACATTTTACACTCTAATTACAAATGTGAATTTTAGTGAACCACTGAAACTTAGTTTCGTATTTCCAATAATATAGCTTACTGAGTGACATTACAGTATGAACACCTATTATACAAATTTAAGAGGAGTTTATCTAGGCTTGTATAGGAGTCGATTTTCGATATTTTATTTTCAATGTCCAATATTTAACTCTAAAACTTATGATATTTTACTTTTTGAATTTGAATTATTGAGTTTAGTAATTACAAATATTAAAATTTGACTTCTATACAGGCACAGATTAACTTCTCTTCTACAATATTGATAATAGGTGTTTTTACTCTCAAACCACTTAATAAACCATATTATTGGAAATACAAAAGTACATTTTTATAGATTTTTTCAATACTATTCATACCCCTTAAGACATTATGTGTTGCTGAGGGCGCTACAGTGGAACGTGCAGTTCCACCTCCTGTTTTGAAAACCTCCTTTTTCCTATCCGCTTCCTTCTTCTTGTTTCTCCTTTTCAAGTTCTCATACTTATCCTTTAAATTTTGCACCTGGAAATAGAAATCAATATTGTTTTACTCCAAACTACACTTAAATATTCCTATTTCAAATTAATCACCTGTAAACCGTACACATTTTTATATTTAAATACCTACACCTTTAAACCAAAGTAAAACTTATTTAATTGCAACTTACTTCTCTTAAACTGCCTGTTGTGGCAGTGAATTGTTCTTGGATTTTTATCCATATAACAATTTTCGACTGCCAAACATCGTGGTCTGATTTTTACATTCCAACACGTTAGAATATTTTGCGGCCAACTCGACCAACGTATTCTCTTCCGTTGCAGAAAAATTAGTGCAACGAGGTCTCTTCATATTATATCGAATTATCTGACTGATAACAACAATAATAAATGATAACTCAAGAACGACGCATGCGTAGAACAGTAGCATTTGGTCATGAGCGGTTGTTTTGGGAATCACTTGTATTATAACGGACGGTTAGTTATACGATCGTTAATCGAAGGTTGTAAGAACGGATTGTTGTAACCGGTAGTTAACCGACGACATTACGGTTAGGTAACCGACACTTTACAAACACTTTAACCGGACATTGTAAGAACGGGCCTAAAACCAACATTCAGCCTAAGTACCGTAACGTCAATAAACGATTCGACTTTAAGGTAAATAAAACATGAAATAGTGTGTTTAATATTATAAGTAACTATAGTCAGTAATCTAAATATTTAATTACTTTTTAGAGTTCAAAATAACGATAACATATTAAGTGGTCGAAGAAAAGTCGACATAAGTTATCTTTTTAAATATATTTCAGCAGTTTAACACACACCATTTCGTTGTTCATTTAAAGATCTAATTTTTACACATGAAATTTGCAAAGGATATTTGTCTGAATTTTATTTTGAATGTTCAATGTGTAATAAAAAAGAAATAATTTATTCCGAATCTCCGACCTTAAATGATAAATTAACCGTTGATGACGCAGTTGTTACTGCTACTTTAAATACAGGACAAGGTCACTCCCAATTGGAACAATTTTCTGCAATTTTAGATATGCCTTGTGTGTCTAATACAAAATACCAAAAAGTGCATGAATAGTTTGTAGAAAATAAAACAGAAATGATAGCATGGGAATCAATTGTAGCGGCTGGTAAGGAAGAAGCTCGACTAGCGATAGAAAATGGTGATGTAAATGGCGACAGTATACCCTTGATAACTGTCGTTGCAGATGGTACGTAGTCAAAAAGATCCTACAAACATAATTATAACGCATTATATGGAATAGTAAGCTATTATTTTAATAATTTATCTAAAATGACAAATTAAAATTGACAAGTATATAAAAATTATAATAATATATAATAATTATTTTATAAAAATTTACAATATTATATAATTTTATATTTATTATTTGATTTAGGCGTGCATTGTTGGTTATCGGACAAAACAGATTTTATTTATAGGAGTTCGAAACAAATATTTTTCAGTTTGTATGAAAGCTTCTTCAATAAATAAAAAACCTACACAACACGTTTATTATAAAAATTGGGATAGTACCAGTACAGCTATGGAGTCGGACATCTTTTTAGAAGGTTTTCGACAAAGTATGGCTATGCATAATTTAATTTATCACAAGCTTATAGCAGACAGATATTCAAGTGTTTTAAAAAAAATTATTTTGGCAAACCCATATGCACTGTATGATATAGACGTAAAAAAAAATTGAATGCGCCAACCATTTCTATACTTAGAAACTATATTAATTGCATTGTAGAAATGACTACTAGAAGAAAAAGTTCAAGGGGGGATGTGGTTCCTGGAGTCTTACGGAAAGTTTTAAAAGACAAGAGTTTAAAATTGATGTATAATTTTGTTTATAATTTGTAATTATTTTAAGTATTTAAAAAAATGGACTTTTGTTTATGTTATTGTTTTATAGGTATGCTATAAAACAAATGCAATTAAATATAGAACAAAACTATATGTACCTCTTAATTATAAAATTACTCTTTTAAAAGAAGACATAGAAAACGACCCATATCATGTTTTTGGTCCACATGATAAATGCTCTAGGTATAGAATTCATTAAAACATAAATTATATTTATATACTCATATAAATTTTGATTAAATTATACTGTAGTAGATAGGTATGTAATATACTGGTAGTTCAGGTGACTATTCTTGTATATTAACGTTGCAGGTAGCTAGACCGTTTCGTTGATGTCAATGAGGTAGTAGTTGAATAAGTTGAACACAATTGTAAAATACACTGATATTTATTTAAATGTTCCAGTAAATGGTGCTAAGTCTAAATAAAAATTACTACACAGAGTCTCGTGAAGGTGCTTAATGATAAATTTGTTTATGCGTTCGTTTTGGGCGTTATACTCTCCATGGTTTCTTTGAATTAAGTACATTCGAAAAGGTTAACTAGTTTTTGTTTGATATATCTGACCATTACCTATCTACAGTATATTATGTTAAATATGTTACCTGTCGGGACTTTAAGTGTTGCGTAGTAACTCGCTTACTACAGATACATAAATACCTATTCGTTTTTTTTTTATTATTTTAACAGTTATTTTGTTTTTTATTAATAAGTCTTATGCCGGGTTGCATAAACGTTCATTAAACATTTAATGAACCAATAGCGCGCTATTGAATGAATAAATTATTTAATGGCTCACTAAACGGTCATTAAACTTATTGGTTCCTTAAACTGGAGGTTACCAGATCATTAAATTAGTGATCAGATTTCGGCTCACTAAATTTTTATGCAACGGTTTATCACACAATTATAATTTTTTCTCAAATCTCAAGATAGCTAATATGCCTACCGATACGAGTTATACCTACTAGTTATTAAAATTTGCATCTTATATACATTAACATTATACATCTATTATCGATCTACAGTAATTTTTTATATAATAATATATAGATAGGTATAATCATGTCAGATAGTTCGGAAATACGTACATCGGATTCCGATGATGAATTTATCATGGATATGTTGTATCATCTACCAAGACCAAGGCTTTTCCGAGGTAGATCAAATCCTCTCGAAGAATTTGATGACTTTGATTTTAAATGCAGTTTTAGGTAGGTAATATGTTTAACGTTTATAAACATAAATTATAAATATTAAAATATAATATATAGGTATTACAGCATATAAAATCAGCTATAGGTGTATCGTGTATCGTATAGTATCGTAATCGAGTAGGTACACGACTTCATAATATCAAATATGTATATTGAATATAATTATTTATTAATAGGTATAAACCGTTCAGCTGTTCGTCTTGTCTATCGGCTGACGTCACAGTTACCAACACGGCATTACTTTAAAAATTCCATTGTAGGATAGTATCGTCATAGACAGGGTTGGGCATATCATAGTTACATGTAACTAAGTTATGTAACTCGGTTACTTTTGTAACTTGTAACTTGTAACAAGTTACACATTTTTAATTTAACTTGTAACTTGTAACTAGTTACACACTTTCCTGTAACTTTCTATGAAAGTTACAAGCTACAATTAAAAGTTACATTGTAAATAATATGGTACATTAGTATTAATTAAGTTTTTTTTTTAGTTTCTATTATATTTAAGAATTTTAAATTTAATACAAACAGTCAACACTAGTCACTCTGTGTGATAATACCACAGAGGCACAGAATAATACGAGCGTATAGAGTCCGTATTATTATCTGTGTGTCTAAACTCTAAAGTCTAAAGACGACGTTTTGTTGATAAGCTGATGATGATCATATGTGATATATAATTGGTAAAAATAAATCATTATCAATTTTAAATAATTATGTAGCTATAAAAAAACTATTTGTAAAATTTAATACTAATCTTTGTTCTTCTGCTCCAGTAGAAAGGTTATTTTCATTTGCTGGGTTCATTCATTGTCCCACTAGAAGAAATTTATCTGACCAGAATTTTGAAAAATTAGTTTTTCTTAAAGGAAATAAATCTTATTCATTATAATTTATAATTTATGGTAAAAAATAATAAATTATTACAATTCAATTTTATTTTTTTAAATTGTACCAGCTTAGTTTATAAATACCATTGACTTTATTAAAACTTAAATTACCTACTACCTTTTTGCATGTGCATGTACCTATTTTATAAGAAAACTGACTATTGTTGTGATTTATTAATTTATTATTAAGTAGATAGTATGATTAATACATTAAATTATTTTATTATAACTGTAATCTGTGAAAAATATTTTACACAAGTTAATATTAATCATTAACTATTGTCTATTACAGTATTGTTATACAAATATTTAAAATGTGTTAATTATAATAAATGAATAAATACAAACATATTTTATTTATCAATGTAACTTTTAACTTTAAATGTAACTTAGTTACATAACTGTAACTTGTATCCAGTTACATTGCACCAAAGTATATAGTATCTTGTAACTAGTTACACAGTTTTAGAGTAACTTGTAACTTGTAACCAGTTACAATATATTAAGTAACTTGCCCAACCCTGGTCATAGACAAGTATATAAAAGTAAATAAAAGTATATATAATCGTAACGGTCGCCAATAATCAAGATGAACTACCTAGGAATGAGCAATTTTAAAATTCTTATAATCTTATGTCACATATTAAAATGTCTCAAGTTTCGTGTTAAAATAATTTAAAAAAAAATCTCACGAGATAAAGAATAGATATGATAAGCCCAGGCCCCAGATAATGTTCTTACTTTTAAGTTAAATAATAGGTAAATTCACTCTATTAATTAAGATTACTTACTATCTACGTAAAATTGGAACTCTTGAACACAAAATTTGGTTTTTGTACGTTGCATAGACTTTTAAGGTTTAAGACCTAGGCGTCCTCTAGGGATACTTGATTACCTATTACAAACCGTCGTAAAAAACCAAAATACACGTCATATGAAAATACAACTCGATGAATAGAGAAAATAGATCGATGACGTCCATGAGCATATGTTAATTTTTGTTTGAACTTGTTTCACACATATATTGGTCTATATAAGTATAAAACTATATTCAGGGACGGATTCAGCCTAGCCATAGGCCTAGAAAAAACCATACACATGGGTAGTGGGTGGGGTTAAACCCCCATTACAACATGGACAGTATATAATTGTAATTATTAATATAAACCTCACCCCTCCCCTCACATATAACTAACTGTACCTAGAGATTTGGCACATATTATTTTTAATAGGTTGCTGTATGTATAGAAGTACTAGCAATAATATAATTTAGGAAAATAATTCATTAAAACATAAGTAATAGTACATTTTTATACCTACATGGTATAAATACCATATATATATATATACATCAATGGGTTAACACTATAGGTACTAAGGTACATGCACATGATTGTTTATTACACACATCAAATTAATAAAGTACATGACACACAAGCACTAGTGTTAATATAGATGTGCAACTTATACCTAAAAAACTTAATAACATTTATTATTTTGAATAATAAAAAAAATAGTGAAAAAACTGTTGGTGGTGGGGAGTGGGATCAAATTGTATAGTTTGCCTTAGGTCTGCTTGTCAGTTCGGCACGCCACTGCTTTATATATTATATATATATAGGTATATGTGCAATTGCATCTATATCTAATAATATTATCTTTTAATTAATAGGCTTTCAAAAGAAAGTTTTGGTGTCTTAATGCATCTTATTGTTCAAGATGTTAAACACGAAACAAAAAGAAATGTTGCACTGTCTCCAGAAGTACAAGTGTTAATAACTCTTCGTTATTATGCTACTGGAACATTTCAAGTAAAAATTATATAAAATTTTATCACAATATAATAAGCATAAACATTATAGTTTCGCTAATTAAATAATTACATTTTAAAGCGATAGATATAAATATATTAGTTATACAATTTTAATTTCAGGCAGTTATTGGTGATCATATCAGAGTTAATAAATCTACTGTATGTAGAACTATTAAAAGAGTTTCAACTGCTATTGCTCGTCTTTACCCTCAGTTTATAAACATGCCTCGGACCGCACATGAAAGAAGTATTGTTCAAACAGGGTTTTATAAAACAAGAAATTTCCCACGTGTTATTGGTGCTATAGACTGCACTCATATACGGATACAGTCTCCTAATAGTGATATTGTTGAACGGTTTCGTAACAGAAAAGGGTATTTTTCTTTTAATGTTCAGGTTATATGCAACAGTAATATGGAAATTATGAATATCGTTTCTCGGTAGGCATAAAATATTATACAGTATAGACTAGATAGTATATATTAATGATTATATATTATAGATGGCCAGGATCTGTTCATGACAGTACGATTTTTGACAATTCTTTAGTCAGAGCAAAGTTTTAAAATCATGAATATGGGAATAATGTTTTTTTGATTGGGGATGGTGGTTATCCATGTCGAAATTATTTAATGACTCCACTCTTAAACACGAGTACACAAGCAGAAGAAAATTATCAAGTAAATAAACAACTAAAGCCCCCATCTCTACTTAATCTATTACCATTATCCTTAGTAATCATATAACTAAAAAATTACTCTTTCAAAAAAATCTGAAAACCTAATTCAAAATGAAAAAAGTGGTTCCTATTTGAAAAACAGAAGTTTGTATTATCTTTAAGTGGTACATACAATCTCAAGTAATATTGTTTTCAAATGTATTTAAAATTCCAAAAAACGAGAATTTGAATATATGCATAATATGCATTATGCATACAAATAGGATGTGCATGTAATTTTTTTTTTATAGAGAGCACATATTGCTACAAGGAATGTTATTGAAAGGGTCTTTGGTGTATGGAAAAGAAGATTTCCTGTTCTAGCTGTTGGAATACGCACCCAGCTTAGTACATCTATGAAGACTATTGTCGCCACCGCTGTATTATATAATATGTTATTACAACAACGGGATGAAATGCCACATAATGAAGAGCCAATTAGACCAGAGTTCTTACATGAATTTAATGCAAATCCCATAAGACAGACTGTAAATTTAGTGAGATCACAATTAATTAATTCAGTTTTTTCCTAGAAACATAATAACATTTTAGAACATGGAATTTTATTTTTTATTCAAGTACAATCATATGTTTTTTATGCTCTAAATTCAATAATAATTAATATGTAAGGTCAGACATACCTTGTTAGAAAGATTGGCAATTTTGTTAGCATAGTTAATTAGTTAATAAATTAGGTAGGTAAGTAATAATGTTAATAAGAAAGAAAAGTTTGTTATGTAGAATAAAATGTTAAGATTTAATATAATTTTAAAGCTGAACTAATAAAAATGTAAGAATATATAAAATTAAAAACTGTATATAATTGAGAAATAATTAGTACTAAAGCATAGTGAAGAATAATATAATATATTATTATTATTATATATATTATAATTATATAGCTAATAATAATAATACCGTAGAATGGGGTAACTTTGATTTCGTGGGGTAACTTTGATAATATGATATTTTTTTCACCATAGTACCACGACAATTTAATATTTTTTTCATAAAATGGGGTAACTTAGATAACACATTACAAAATGCTGGTATCAAAGTTGCCCAAAACGTGGTGTAACTTTGATAGAATTTTAAAAAGATTAATATCTCAGAAGATAACATCAGAAATTAAAAAATTTAAATGTTAAACAATTGAGGATAATTAGCTATAACTAAGATTTAATTTTTGGAATTTTATAGTTAATACTACAGAAGTTATCCATAAAATAAAAAGTAAAATTGTAATAAAACGGTACAAATTTATCAAAGTTACCCCATTTTACTGTAATAATAATAATAGCTAGAATAGTTATTCCATTCCCCACATTCGTTTTGTGTTTTAATTCGAGTAATAACATTTCCTCTTTTAATTGGTTTTGACGAACATCACTCTCCATCTTTTCCGACTCATATTTGAATTTTTTGGCCATAAGATCGTGTTCTAATCGAGAAGTTTCCAATTCTGATTTTGCTTTAAGAAGCTTAATTTTGTACAATTCGTCCTCAAATTTGGATGTTTTTTCCAATTTTTTATTATTTAAAATGGCGAGGCCTTCATAAATTTTCTTATTACTAGTAGTACTTGTCGGTTTGGTTTTATTTAATGATGAGTTTGATGAAGATTCTGCATGCCAGACGTGTTGAGGAGTGTCAGAAGGAAAGGAAATGGAACTGGAAGTTTTGGGTGTGGATCTGTGCAAAATACTCAGATTTGAATTGTTTTGATCCAAATCAGCTGTTAGCAACATTGAAAAAGATAGGAAGGAATTATTTTAAATAAAGAAAGGACTAATCATAGGCGTGCCCATGGGTAAAATTTGATTGCCTACTATTTGGATATGTATATGTATAATTTTATTTGGATAAGTACATTAAAATTTGCTATTGTATGTTTTATGGAAAAGGAACATAATATTATGTTGTTTTTCTATAGATTCATTTTTTTTGTTAGTGAAATAATTTATTACACTGTCAAGTTCATAGAATTTGGAAATTTTCTCTATTTATAAAAATTGTCTAAGCACGCCTATGAATCTATTGTAAGACTCCAGTAATTATACATGTATTACACAATAATATAGGTTTGAAATAAATAGAAACAATAATTATGAAAAGGATGATAGGAATTTTGAATAGCTATTAATAAAATATTAAGAGGACGTACCCACTTAAGTTGTCTTTGTCTTACACATGTAAGACATAGCAAATTTTCGTATACAAAGTTTCTATAGCAATTTTGATATTAGAGTGAATTGACCTATTTTTAAACTTTTTGGTAAGAACATAATCTGTGTTCTCTAGTTGGTTTTTTTATAATATTTTAATTGTTATACAATTTATAGTACATAATACATGGTTGTGGGCTACCAGAAATGAAAAAAACTCTTTAAAAATAATAAAAAATGTATTACTATGGGCCCTTTATATACGTGGGCCCAGGGGCCCCTTTAATTCAGGCTTGCTCATAACTCACTTAAAAATTAAAATAAAACTAACATTACACTATTGAAACTGATGAACAAAAAATTTGTTATGTTGTACACTTGTAATTGTGTATGACGGAGACAACACATGTGGGTACGATGTCCTCTTAATTGATAAAGAAAAAAAATGGAATTGATAAACAAATAATTAAATTAAATAATATAAATTGATTAACATTTAAATGAAATTTAATAAAATATTGAAACATGCCTGTCTTCTACCATAATATGTCCAAATCTATTAGTTGTAATTATTGTTTATAACTTTTTTTGGTGAATAAACTATACTGATGTACATGTAACATGTTGGATGTCTGTTTAATGAAAACATTAAATTAATTTTATTAATAATATACCTACCTGGGCAAAGAAGACTAAATTCATCCCCCGAAATGTCTTCTACAATTATCTGGTCACCACTTATATCTTGAACTGAATAAATTAATAAATTAGTTCATTAAATAATGTTTCATGTAACTTTATCTTATACTATTAATGTAGAAATGTTCTACTTACTAGCATTATAGTCAGCATCACCATCAACATTATTTAAAAGTGGATCTATCCTGTCACCGAGTAGACCTATAACTTTTTGTGTAACATTTGATAGTGTTGACTGATTTGTACCACCCCCAGTTTTATAATGCTGCACCTAAATTAAATATATAATTATGAAAACACTAACATAGTAACATAGTGTGCTAAGTAATTTCTCTAAACCATTATATCATGCTAATTAAATTGGGTGATTACACTAATGAACTGTACAAATTTAAATTGATGCAATGTTGTAATGATGATTTCAGCAAGAAAGATTCAAATGTTTAACAAATAGGCAGGGGAGTATTACCTTTCAACTTGTATTATAATTTCACAACTAAAGACAAATTTATCAAATATTATTATTAATATTAATAGTGATTATTGTTTAACTTGGTATCACACCAAGTGTGTGAATTTAGCTAGTATACCAAAAAAAACTGGTATTGTAGATATTGTTGAATGTTCATTAATTTATGTCTATTTGCTGCATTATATTATTATAATATCCAATTCAGTATGGTTTTTACAATAATATTTCTGTAGTTTTTAAGTTAAAAGTAAGTGTTTTATAAGTATGATTTTTGGACCATAGGTATGTTAAATACATGTAATTAGAACTGCAATGTTTTTGGAGGTCATTTTTTATCCATTTTTAGTCATCAATATCCTATCTCTAATGATAAGGTATTTTTGACATTTTTAATATTGGATGGATCAACTGAAATATTAGAATATTAGATGTATCTGTAAAAATGTTGTTTGTATCATAAGTGCAACTTACAACTATCCCGGCAACAACATAATTAGGTATAGTTCGATCCCGGCAGTAACATAATTATTGTACGATCCCGGCAGTACCACAATATTATTGAATCGTGTTGGAAGTAAGATAAGTCCCCGCGCATGCGCAATGATAAAAAAAATTGTCCGGGACTGATAACATTTTGACAATTATCACGGAATTTCCGGGACTCTATCCACACCCTATTAATACACTAAAAACTAGATAATTCTAATGTATTTGGCAATGTGATTAGAAAAGAAATGTATTATCATGGCCTGATGGGCCCCTACTTATGTTTACAAAAATGGGATCATGCCTATCCGCCCCTGTGTATTATAATAATAGTGGTTTCATTAATATTTAATACAAACATTTCAGTAACAAATCGAAGAAAATTATATTAAACCGGTAAAGGTTACCTGTTTTGTCTCCATCAAAAATGTTTTGTAGCCCTACTGCTGATGACCCCATGATTTCAATTAAGGGGTATGCATACCGACCGTTTCTAAGGAGTTCTGTATAGGCAATTTTCTAATTGTGTGCATGCGGGTCGTGTAAATGTGTGCGTAGTAAGTGAGTGACTGTGTATAAAATAAATAGTGGAGAACACCCGCACGTGCATGCACATGTCATTAACGGAACATTTTACACTCTAATTACAAATGTGAATTTTAGTGAACCACTGAAACTTAGTTTCGTATTTCCAATAATATAGCTTACTGAGTGACATTACAGTATGAACACCTATTATACAAATTTAAGAGGAGTTTATCTAGGCTTGTATAGGAGTCGATTTTCGATATTTTATTTTCAATGTCCAATATTTAACTCTAAAACTTATGATATTTTACTTTTTGAATTTGAATTATTGAGTTTAGTAATTACAAATATTAAAATTTGACTTCTATACAGGCACAGATTAACTTCTCTTCTACAATATTGATAATAGGTGTTTTTACTCTCAAACCACTTAATAAACCATATTATTGGAAATACAAAAGTACATTTTTATAGATTTTTTCAATACTATTCATACCC